TGTTAAGATAAATATAGTAAGCAATTATATATATATATGTGTGTGTGTGTGTGGACAACATAATTTAGCAAAAAGGACAAATTTTCCTTTTGGGGTAAGGGAAGATAACAAACAGATTGCAATAACATTTCTTTGTAACTGAATCCACAAATAATGTTCAGTCGATAAATAATAGAAAATAACTCAAATCCTGTAACACTCAAGATTAAAATATTATTTTCTGCATAGAACATAATCTTTTGAAGTGAAATTCTAATTTTAATAAAGTGCAAAAAAATTGAGTTTTGAAGAAAGAAAACAATGACATACTTAATCCAGGACTCTTCGTCGGCAATATCACGGAAGAATTGGTGCAATGTATTTGCTTCATTAAGTCTAGCTCGCCTGTGACCAGCCAAAGTTTTGACTCTATTGTATCGTTCATTAATTGAGCTGCGCTTTTCTTCAATGGAGGCAGCATCGCACTGCCCTGACTCAATTAAACTGTCAGCTAAAGTGTTCATATCTCTGATGCGATCTTCATGGGCATTCACATCAGCTTCAACAAGTTGATGTTTCTTGATGAGGTTTTGAACAGAGGCTAAGTCTTTGCCAGATTCTTCAGATTTCAAAAGAGATTCAACCTAAAATAGCAAACAACATAAATAATTATTTGCAATCGAGCAGAGGTCAAATATATTTAATGTTTCAACGAGTCTTGCAAAATATTAAATATATTGATATCTTAGTGTAAACATAACCCCGTGGCAGAATGGCAGAGACACGGCGACATTGTCTCAGAACGTTACAATGTTCCAAAGAAATTTACACGTAACATTTAAATCAGGCATTTAGATAACCACTTTTTGACAGGCTCAATTTACACCGATAGTATCGTAAATCGATGCTAAGTTTCGATTGCATTTTCGACATTTATTGATATTGACTTTTACCTGGTTTTTAAATATCTCAATATATTTCAGACAGTATGGAAAATTCGAACGGGGCATTTGAGTATTTACTTTTTAAGGCAATAATTCTATCGAATTTTTGGCAGTTATTGCTATTGGATTTTTCATAGTTTTTAAAACCGATATTTTTTATATGATATTATTTATTACAGAAACCTAATCTTGAAACGAAACGCGCATTTGAGGAGTTCACTTGATTTCTTGATCTTTACTTTTCGGCAATTATTACCACGGATTTCATGATTTTTTATTGTGATAATTATTTACAAAATGCGAAGAAATAAATAATTTGTGTGCCCCCAACAAAATACAAGAATATCGCCCATAATATTAGGAAAAAAAATTATAACATTTCCAGTTTAAAAAAAAAATTATTTTAAACACAGCGCTTTTGTTATTTTAAATTAGTAACCCATATGTTTCTTATTAATAAAATTATCTTGTAGAAAGATTTGTGCTAGGCAGCTTTGTCACAGATAGTTCGAAAAAAATTCTGCCACAAGGCTTGCAACACAATTTTAAAATAACGTATTAATGAAACAAAGGAAAAACTAATTAGTATTACGCTAAGTAGTTACGAAAATTTTCTGCAATACTTTTGCAAAGTAAAATTAAAAATCCAAAATTTATAAATATTGGTATTTTATGTTGAACAAATATTATTGAATAAGGATCAAGCGAACAATGATAATTGTGCTCATTCAAATAAATGTAAAAAATGTTTACTTTAACAAACTGAGTGCTGGTTACACAATAAACGTAAAAAGGAGTACTTTGAGTTTATTCAAGAAAATGGAAGTGTTCTAAATACAGGGTATCTGCTACATTTAAGATTTTCAAATTCATGACTTTTAATGACCTTAACGAAGTTACTATTTTACTATTTAAAAAAGCATTATAATAACATTAATTGAAATGATAGGTGTAAACAAAACTGTTATACTCTGCATCTTCATATTTATAGATTTTAAAAAACAGCGTAAAGAAAGAGCTGAAGCGATAAAATAGCTGAAAAAAATACAAAAACAAAATTTTTTTTCAGAATGATATTCTAAAGCTACTTTTCTTGTTCATCTGAAAGGAAATTCCTGATCTTTCCTAATCACTCCTGATTTTTCTGTTCTCATTTTAGAATTTAAAAAAAATGTGCCAATGAATGGCTTGCTTTAGCTAGAATTTTATGTTGATAAAATAAAAATATATAATAACAAAAATTCAGAAATCACAAAAGTTTAAAAGATAATTCGCTATAGAAATAATTTTTTAAAGAACATGATAAAAACATTTTATATTTTAATAAAATATGACTATGAGTGGGGGACTTTGTTACAAATTCAGATATTCGGAACACCATAAAATGGGGAGGGGGGGGGGTAAATTCCATTTNTATCTACCATCGTATTATATATGTTACAAAAGTTGTTGGAAAGTTTGTTTTTGGTTAAAAGATTTTAATATCTTACCAGAATTTAAAGCCTGTTTTCAGGGAGCTTATACATATGTTTATTAATTTCATATGTAGTGGCGGTTTGTGGAAATCCAAGAAAAAAAAAAAAAAAAAAAAAAAAAAAAAAAAAGGGTTAAAATTCACTTTAGAAGTGTTGAAATAAATACATGATGCACGGAAAGAAAAAAAATTTGATAGTCAAAGCAGCCAACATGGATAGGAAAAAATTTAGTAGATTTCACAAAATAATATAAATATCATAATATTTGTTGGGAACACATAGAACTAATAGAACCCATAATATTTGTTGGGAACTAAAAATACACATAGGGAATTTTAGGGATTTTTATAGTCATCAAAATAGTAAAACTGCATTATTTTCCAGTTATGATTGGCATTAAACTTACCTGAAATCTTATGTATTATGCTCACTCATAATTTCAAATATTAATAGGCATTTAATTCATCAAAGATACTTAAAATATTTTTTTCATTAATTTAAAAAGAGTTCTGAAAAAAATTTAACTAAACATTTTAGAAGAAACATTTTTTTTTTTGAACTGATTTCTATAAATGAGGTTTGCTTCATGATGTTTTAGTAATACTTATTTAGATATTTAAGCAAGCAAGCAATAATCTGTACAAAAATTCTATTTCAATATGGATTTTTTTTTTTTAGGAAACTTACTCAATTTTAGGGATTTTTCTAAAATGTACAAAAACCAGGACAATTTTAACTAAACCAGGAGATCAGGAGAAACTGGCAAAATCCAGTAGTCTACTGTAAAATCCAGTAAGTTGGCAGCTATGGATATTTAACAGGGTGCATAGCCTAATCTTTCAACAAAAAATAAGCACCTTTTAAGCACTCAAAATTTTTTTTAAGATACATTAATAAAATAATTTCCAAAGACTTTACATGATCATGATAAAATAACTAGTTTCTGACAAAGAACTCTTTTCTTGATTATATTAGCCAACATAAAAAGAGCAAGAAATTTTTTTGGTTTTATTTCAGAGGGTGAAAAATAAAGCCTGAAATTGATAATATCTAGCAAAATGCAGCAGAGTTGCTAATGAGAGTGCCAGAATCACCTTTAAGCACTTTTTAAGGGGTCGCTGAATCCAAATAATCACCGAAATATCAATTTTTTTAATAGTTTATAATAAAACTTCAAACTATTTAAAATGTACTGGAAAAAAAATCATCCCTCTATCTACATTTTTAAAAAAGTTACGAATGATTTCAGATTGTCCTAAAACAGAAACTTGATCAGCAGATAGAACAGAGCATAAAGTGCTTTTTCTCATACATGATAATTTAATTTTAATTAAATCCTTAGGGAATTTTTTTATTTAAGATAAAGCTTTGAAGTAAACTTTTTTATCTTAAGTATAATACACTTATTCAAACTGTGAATGGAAACTGCATTTTATAAGGTAGGTATTTTAATTTTTACAGCATGTAATATATATATAACAGGAATTTTAAAAAAAAAATTTCTCCACTTTTTAACAAAATAATCTATAAAAAATTGATACATCAACAAGAGAATGAGCAAAATTGTTAAGATAAATATAGTAAGCAATAAGAAAAAAATCTTTTTTTTTTGAAAATATGTTAAAATAAAAAATCCTTAAGGATTTAAAAACTTAGTTTTTTTTTTTAAATTTAAAAAAAAATTAAACAGTTTAACGATTTTTTGAACATAAATTATTGATTATAAGTTAAATGAACATGTAAAGAATCCACAAAATGAATGATTATACCTTTATTAAAAAAAAAAAGGGTACTGTGATCCATTAAAAACACTATACACCATGATTGACTTAATTTGTGGAATATGCATGCATACCTGAGCATTTATTGCTTTATCAAAATCTTCATGTTTCTTTATGAGAGATTCTACATTATCACCACCCATGTCATCAGAGCTGAGGAAAGCTTCTCGACTTCCCATCCAGTTTTCTGCCTGCTCACAATCTCTGTAAAACAACTGCAGTTCCAGACACTGATCTAGTTTCATCCTTCGTGCAATCCAAGCACTGTAGAAATAAAAATTTAACGTAAATATTTTTTTCTTAAAGTCAATTCCTACTTAGGGGCAACAAAGAAAATTATTAAATAATTAAAAAAATTTAATATTTGAAAAAACTATTAAACGATTGAAAGAAAAATGCATTTGAAAAAATTTAATAAAAAACTATTAAACGATTGAAAACAAATGGATTTGAAAAAATTTAATAAAAAAACTATTAAAACTATTGAAAATAAATGTATTTGAATTTGAGTGGATGAATAAAAACTATTTAATTAACGATTGAAAATTTGAACGAGATATAGGGAGAATGTGAACTAATAGCAGGAATTGAAGAAAAAAGGTGCTATCAGACAACTATAAAAGTATACATTTGGTGACGTGGACTGCACGTGCTACCACCTAATGTTCTTTATTGAATTTATCTGACACAGAAAATATAAAATAATTAAATATTTAAATGTCAGCAATACAATATTTTTTTTGTTCAAACAGAGCTATAAGTTAGAAATTATCACAGATGTTATTTTTAAAATATGTGAAAAATTGAATCGCTTATAGTAAAATTTAAAACAATGACTAAACCTATCAGAAAATTCCATTTTGTTTTTTGCTCATCCCTATTTTAATGAATAAATTAATATTTGAAAAAATTGTATTAACATCAAGTGTCATCCACTACAAGTTTAAAAAAATTTATTTGAAATTGAGTGGATGAAAAAAAAGTATTTTATTAATGATTGAAAATTTGAACAAGGAAAATTTATATAAATTTAGGGAGAGTGTGAACTAATAGAAGGAATTGAAAAAGTTTGTCTAACTCAAATTTTTAAATAGCATATAGAACAGTTTTGAATTTTTTTTAAAAATTTTAAAAGACTGAAAGTTACTAAAATGTGGAGTAAATGAGAAGTTTGAAGAATGTGAAGTAAATGAGTTATTTGTACAAAAATTATCATAAACAGCTCGATAATGATTTTTATACTTTAAAAGTTCAAAAACATGTCATTTGAAAATGTTAGAATCGTCTTGAAGTATCAAAAACAATTCTGCTTTGGAAAGGTGAACAAATGGGTATTAACTCTGGAGTTTCAAAACAATCTAAAGCATTAACAAGAAAATTTGTTTGAATTATCATTAAGCAAAAAATATTTATACTAAGATATCGAAATGCTACTGTTGAAGAAAAACTTCTACCCATAATTTTTACTTTTACAATAAAAAAAACAGTTCTATCCATTGAACGGACAAACAAGATATTTTAGTTTCTAACACGCTTAAAATATATTCATTATTTGAAAAACAATTATGAGATGATTGAAAAGGAAAAAGCTTTTCTCCCTTATAAACTGATTTTCTATTGTTGATGGTAATTTATTTTGAACTGATGGTAATTTACTTTAATAACATTTTTCTTTCTTAATTACAATGGTATTCAAAAATAAAACAAAAGTGTCACTAAGAATAGAAAAAATACCGTTCAAGATCTTGTCTCGCATCATTCATTTTTTCCAATTTTTCTTGCACCTCTGGACTGGCATAATGACCACTCTGAAGCAACTGTTGCCCAAACATTTCAAAGGCCTGGAATGTACCAGCGCGAGCATCAATCTCGGTACGATGTTCCTGAAAAAAACATACAGCATATTATATTAAACCCTTGGTTCAATGAAAGTTACTTTTGTTAGAGAGGCTATGTTAAGACTGCTAGCAGATTTCAAACAAGAAAAATATGTTGTGTCACCAAATATAATGATGTTAATGATGCAGGAATATTATGACTATAGAGTAAATCAATTATTTTATCAGGGTTCGTAGCCAAATCTTTCAACAATAAATAAGAGCCTTTTAAGTACATTTTAAACTCTCAAAAAATATTTTTAAGCACTATATACATTAACAAAATTTCAACATTTTTTTTAAAGATTACACGATCATGATAAAATAACCAGTTTCTGACAAAGAACTCTTTTTGTTGTTGTTTAGATTAGCCACTATAAAAAGATCAAGAGGTTTTTCAGTTTGATATCAGAGGGTGGAAATGAAGCCTGAAATTGAAAAAATCTTGCAAAATGCAGCAGAGTTGCACATGAGAATGCAATAATCTGATCGAACTCAGTTCAGTAGATGCACATATTCGAACTCGCAAATATTTTATCAAGCATGTAAAATGATTGGCCCTTTCATACACTATGGACTGACAGTACACCAAAATGAATTGTGAAAAGGTTGAAAAGGACCATGAACCATGTGAAAAGCACGCTTTTGCATAACACGTAGCGAAAATCAATTTGGTAAAAAATATCTCATATTCGAAAATGGAAATTTAAGCACTTTCTCAAAACATCCAATGAAAAAAGCACCTTTAATTGCTTTTAAAACACGAAAATCGAAAATAGGCACCTTTAAGAATTTTTTAAAATCTATATGCATCATGTTTATAATTACAGCATTGTACTGTTCTTTCTTCTTGGGAGAATTGGCAAAATGAGCAAGTTATATGGTAAGGAACAGTGGATTAAGTAAGATAATTCTATGTTTCATATAAAAGAGCAGCACAATTTATAGATTTTATAAGTGATGATTACTTCACTGAAATTTACCTAAGAATATATTAGTTTCTTGTGCATCTTTGAGAACATAAAAAAAATGCAGTGATAAAATAAAGCCTAAACTATCAGATAAATGGCGGAAAAACTAAATACATAGCTAGAATGATCACAGAATACGCATCTAGTAGAAGTTAATGGTTTATTTGAAACTGATGAAATCAGCAAAAGGTAATTAAAAAGAACTCATAACAAACATTACATTCAAATAAGCAACACACTACTAGCTAAAACCAATCCAAATAAGTCAAAATTTAATATCTTTCAAGGTGTCAAACAATACAAGCAATAAGTTTAGTAAAAGCCAAGATAATCGCAAAAAATAAATAATTTCAGTGTTAAATGGAGAGTTTATTTGTAATTCATTCACAAAGCACAAACACATTCCTCAATAATACCTGTGGGATGCCATAATATGCATCTATTTCTGAACGATAATTCTACATAAAACAAAAAAAAATAACTTAAATTCAGTAATAAGAAAAAATTACTAAGTAAGAAAAACTTTAATTTACATAATGCATAATATACATAATTCTATGTATGCATAATATATACCCCAATTCTGAACTTATCCACCCTAATTCTGAATTTATTACTGTCATCAAAGTAAAAAATAATTCGATTCTCTAAAAATTTATGTTTAAAATTATCAAAACTTATTAAATTCCTGCAAGATAGATTGAAATTACAATTTCAGACAAATTTAAAAAAAAAATTATATTGATGATAAATTTGGGACTTTATAAATAAGTAAAATAATAATAAATAAATAGTTTAAGTACATTTAATATCTTTGTTAATTGTTCTAAAATTTAAGTCAGAAATAAACCCTTTTTGTGAAATTTAACTGAAGGAACATGAAGAGCTATCATTAGTTATACATGAATCTTAATTATCTCAGTATTTGCTAGGAAATCACAGAAAGATGGACCACTAAATTATGAGATTAACGAACATTTTGATTAAATTAGTATTTCCTGAATTTTAAAATATCTGTCCGCGTCTTAAAGAGATTTCAGTCAAGATCCTAACTTTATTTTTAAATATCTAACAATATTGTTTAGGTTCTCTATGTGATAGAGATTTCAATCAATATTATTATAACTTTATTTTAAGACATCTAACAATTTTGTTCATATTTTTGGTGTAATAGACATATCAATAAAGATCATTATAACTTTACAAGATGTAGAAATGACTGAGAAAACAAATGTATTCGATTCTTAAATAGTCATTACAGGAAAACCAGAGTTCGTTACACTTTACGAATTCGTGCAATTAAGCTAATAAAAACCTCTAAAGTACATCAATTTATTTTCATTCTATAATAATCAATAAAACATTTAAAGCAATCTAATTGTAAAATTGTTTAGGAATTTTTTATACTTTGAAATGAGTAATAAACTGATTAGTTTAGAACTAATCAATAAAATTTATTAAACAATTTCATTGTAAAATGTTTTGTAAACTTTGAAATCATTAGTTTTACAAAAAAACAACAGATTTTAATCAAACAATCTTGTCATTTCAACTGGATGATTTCAATATGATCAAGCATTATTAAGCGATTTTTCATTAGTTTTTGAATAATTAGAGAAAGCAAAACTTAGCTTATTGAGGAAAATATTTTTACTCATCTTGGAATTATAATAAGAAATCCTACTTATAAATTTTTGATGCAGAATAAATGCATTTAATATTTCAGTTAAAAAAATTTTTTGTTAAAAAATGAGCAATTGCTCTTTTTAATAATTTTTTCCTTATGGTTAAGTCAATTACAAATATTTAGAGGGAGAATCGAAATTGACTATTTTTTATCAGATTTGAAATTTTTTATTTTATTGCCCATGAACAGGAAAAATAAATAAATATATTGAATGTGCGTAAGAGCAATTTTGGTGTGTCAATCATACATCACTGAAAATTGAAGTTTTGAAACATAACATGCCTCATTCTGAATGAAATGTAAGAAATTTATATCTCACCTGATGTCTTTCAAGTAAAGCTTCTGCCCCAGTAACATCACTTGCTAATTCTTCAGAGAACACAAGACTCATCATGCTCTGTATCCAAGACATTAAATCTCTGAAAAACATTTGGCGATTTTTAAACATCAGTTCTATGCATACCATCAAAAACATTTTTTTTTTACGTTCAGTTGATTTAGTTTTCAGTTTTTTTTTAAAACACATTTTCGGCCAAAAGTGCACAAATATTTTTTTATTAACACTTTGACGAATATTTTTCACTAATTTTATTTTTCAGCTATTGTCAAGGGCTCTGAAGACATCTATAAAATATTAGCAATTCAATTAGAGTAAAACTTTCTGTTGAGGAATTTTCAAACTACTGAAGCTTATTAACTTAAAATAGTTATTGGCAAATGAAATTTTTGAAAAATGCATAATTATTCCTTTTGAGATTTATCATATGTTTTTATGATGGATTAAAGTTGCAAGTCAGTAAATAAAAAAACAAATTTCATAAAAAAAGAATAAGCGTTCAACTAAATGGTTTGTTCATTGATTTAGTGAATACTGTCTATATGTACTATTTTATTTCTTAAATAAAATATAATTTTTCATGAATGAAATTTTTTTGTGTCTTAATGAATGTAATGCAAGTATATTTCAATTAAAATAATACCACATTTTATAAAGTTTCTATGCTTGGCCTTAAATGGGTTAAACTTACAATCTAATCTTTTAAATGAAAACTGGATGCTACTTCTCATTAGTTAATAGCTGTTAAATTGCAATCAGATGTTAACTTACAAAGAAAATGAAACAAACTGTACTCATCATAGAATTAAAGGATATTAGAATATATAAATTGTTCATCACTCAAATTATTAATATTTAACACTAAAATAGAATAACATAGTCGAGCGAAAATAGATTTTTAAAAAAAGGTACGAATGTAAACCCCAATTTCTAGTGGGAAAAAAAAGATCTTTTTTCTTTTGAATCAAAATTATAGTTATATATCTAAGCAATACCTGTAGTCAGCTAAGAATCGCTGTAAATCGTATGAATCTAGAAGTTTTTCCTTGCGGGCGTTGGCTTTTGCAGTAAGCTGTGTCCATTCTTCATTAATTTCTTTCTGTTTGATATAGATCAATTCTGCTGAATCAGGATGAGTTTGCATAAGTCTACTGGCAGTGTCATCTAAGCTTCTTATCTATCACAATTAATAAAAACCATTTATTTAAACATAAATATTTTAAAGACAATACTAATTAAATAATCTCGTTGTTCTATAACACTCAATTCAATAAATAAAACAAATAACATCAGCATAATAAGCCGAAGTAAAAAAGAAAATTTTTTCGCAACTAAGAAAAAATATTTATGTTTATTGACGCCTGACTGTTATATTGTAATTTCTAAGCCTGGTTGTAACCTATTATTTTATTTTTAAAATGATTGATTTGATGTGAAATTATTCGTTAGTGGAGTGGGGTTTTGTAGAGGCAGATTAATTAAAAAAATTAATTTCTATTCAAAAGGCAACATTATGATGAAAAATATTCACCAGATAAATTACCTTACTACCAAATTTGTCACTACAGAGATGACTCACATAACTGTTTACATTAAACTATTTATTAACAATCATTAACTTGGCCACGGTTTAAACCATCCTATCCAAAACCCATCTGTAAAAATTATGCCACAATTTAAAACAAAAATGTATTGTGAAAAATAAAAAGTTTATTATTTTTAATATTGCATTATTTATCCTTATGCAAGAACATAATTTATCAGTATTAAAAGCATATTTATTCATATTCTAGAGCTCAAAAGTTATAAATCTTTTCCTATTATATTATTTTCTTTTAATAAGTCAAAGCAAAATGTATAAAAAAATATCAAATAATTATTAATATATGCAATTATTATGTGTACAATGGTTACACCTATAGAATATTTACCTTTTACCTAAGTTCAAGGTTTTGGACATCTTCCAAAACCAGTTTAGCATGCCGAAAACCTCAACCCTGTGACATGTGTTAGCTGCTGTATTTAATTATTAATTCTGATCACTTTACGCAGACTTTTATCACAGAAAAGGAACTACTTACTCTATCTCCCAGAGCAGCAAGATCTCTTTCCAATCCTTCATGTTTCCTTTGTAAAGTTTGGACACTACGCAAATCTTCACCACAAGCTTCACTATTCAGGTTGTCATCTTTTTCCCTTATCCAGTCTTTGGTTTCATCCACATCACGCTGGAATCTCTGCACTTCATGGGCAGAGCCCAGCTGAGTCGCTCTTTCTTGAGACACATTCTGGACTTCTTGCCATTTACGATTCACATCCTAAAGGAGTAAATAACTATCATAAATTTACGTTCATACAATACATATTTTTTTATATTTAAAGGGTTGCCACAGAAAAAAATGAATATAGTTGCTTTTAGTAGCCCAAAGCATGAAAATAGTTGCCTAAATAAGAACAAAATTATGTCTAAAATTTTATTAAATTACTAAATTGTCATATCATGATCCATTTAGTCCAAGTTGGTGGCAAAAATGATACTCTTTATAGAAACATTAGTGTTCTAGCACTAAATTTTTATATCAAAAAAATTAGTATATTAGCAGAAAATTAAGTACTTTTAATTACTAGAAATTATTCAAAAGAATGTTTTTTCATTAAAAAGAACATACTTTTTCTAAAAAATTTTCAGTTTAACCAATAATTGATTTAGAATATATATATATATATACATATATATATCGCGAAGAGTGATTATTCAAATTTGAAATCCACACATCGTAATAGCATATTAAAAATTGCATTTTTTAAAATCGTGCAGAATTTCAAAACAATCGCAGTTGAAAAGACGATCAAGAAACAAAATAGATTTACAATGGAATCTGTACAACTTGAGCGCATTAAAAAGTGAGGAATAAAATTTGCAATTTAAAATTTTTTAAGAAAGAAAAAAAATTCAGGCAAAAAAAGTTGCCATAGTCGGCTTAGGTCAAGACTAGATGCAAATAGTCTCATTTTAGTAGTCTGGTAACCCTGTAATTGGTGATATTCGATGTCAAGAAGATTTATAATTAAATTTTTCTTTTTAAAAGTACGTTTCTCAAATCATACAAAATACATCTTTACATCAAAGGGTTAAAATCAATAAAATATATTTATAAATTAAAGCTCTGACAAAACATATTGTAAATAATTAATATTATGAAGAAAAAACATTTAATTTAAAACAGTTAAAATTAGATAATTATAAACAAATAACTGAATAAATGAAATCATAATTGTCTCTATTTGAGATAAATATCCTAATAAGTAAGCAAAGACCAAATTTGTAAGTTAGATATCAAATAAAGAATTATTCAAAACAAGAAACAAGAAAAAATTAATTTTTTAAAATTAATTTTGATAGAACAAGATTTTCTTCACTATTTAATACACCAACTACATAAGTAATAAGTTTAAAAAAAAATAATACTTATATTGAATAAACAGATGATAAACAAGAAGCTTTATACCACTTTTTTCCTGCTTAGTCAAATTTTTTTTCATTTTAGTCTACTTTGACTATCATATAAAAATTTATGTACATAACCTTATCTCATAATTAATTTCTCTGGGGAAAAAACTTTAAAAACACTAACACAACTGCAATATATATACACATTGTACAAACATATTTTTGATTTAACTATGCATATTTCTTTAAAAAATATATATAGTTAAGTAAAATAAAGTTCTATTTTTTAATATGTTATGGTTTAAATCCTATGTCAACTCTGAATAATGAGAAAAGTTCTCACTTCAATCTGAGTTTGAATTTTCTGTGCAGCTTCAGTGTGACCAGATTGCATCAATCGACTTGCGGTTTCATTCATCTGCTGTAACCTCGCTTCATTGGTTTGTAGCTCAGCTCGGAAATCATCAAAATTCTTCTGCATTACTTCAACTTGTTCTAAATCTTCTCCCACATCTTGTACTTGGGCTATTTGTTCCTAAAGGAATACACACATTAAAATAGTTATTTTTTTAGTTCAAATTCATGCCAAGAGTATTAAAATGTGTCAAACTAATTAAAAAATCCTAATGTAAGTTAGCATTAATACACATACTGTCCTGTGGCTATTTAAGCTGTCAAACATGTGATCTTTTTCTAAGGGGTTTTCTGGTTTAAAAATTTAAAATAAAACAATTAATTTAAAAAACAACAACATTGAATTTCTTTTATTGCATATTTTGACACTGTATATAATGAAGTACATGATGGCCAAACCATTGTGCCCAGAAACTATTTGATATAGTTGAAACATATGACCATTGAACCTGCCACAGTGCGCTGCTGAGGACATCATTTACCAAGTTACGTGTTTTTTTTTTTTATATGTTTAAATTACAAAACTTTTTTAACTAGCTTTTTTTAACTATCATTCTGAGAAAAAAAGCTTTTTTCAGATTTTATTTGATTATGAGTATAGTAACATTCATACAGAATTGTTAATTTTTGGTCTGTCCTGTTTCAAATAATACAGTATGGAGATTGAGCTAAGATCATCCACCAGTGCAGGGTATGACAGTGTCTGTCCTCTTCCTCGTCATTTTTATAGTTAATTTATAAAACCGTTAAATAATTATACCACTTATCCTTTCATGTCAATAAAAAAAGGTTTAAAAATGGGGCGTAAATCGAGCCTGATCATAAATTGAATCTAAACTAGAAGAGCACCTTTAAGATAGAAAACTGAGTTAATATTTAAAATACAATTAATGAATACCAAATAAAAACAAAAAAAAAAAAACTTAGAGGAAATCTTATTTTTTAGTAAAAAACACTAATAATTTTTTTAAAAAATAAAAGATTGCATAACATTAACAGAAAAAATAAATTCGAAAGAAAATTTAAAAATTATGATTTTATTTTCTCACTTTATCTACNCTCTTCTGTTTCAAATAATACAGTATGGAGATTGAGCTAAGATCATCCACCAGTGCAGGGTATGACAGTGTCTGTCCTCTTCCTCGTCATTTTTATAGTTAATTTATAAAACCGTTAAATAATTATACCAGTTATCCTTTCAGGTCAATAAAAAAAGGTTTAAAAATGGGGCGTAAATCGAATCTAAACTAGAAGAGCACCTTTAAGATAGAAAAATGAGTTTTATTTAAATTACAATTAATGAATACCAAAAAAAAAAAAAAAAATTTANAAAAAAAAAAAAAAATTTAGAGGAAATCTTATATTCCAGTAAAAAACAATAATATTTTTTTTAAAAAAATAAAAGATTGCATAACATTAACAGAAAAAATAAATTCGAAAGAAAATTTAAAAATTATGATTTTATTTTCTCACTTTATCTACCAGTGATTAGATCTTTACATAGTGTCAGCTTATAAAAACATGTGCTATGCCATGAGATCATCAAATATGCAACAACTAAAATAAAATGTTCTAAATTGCATTGATGAAAAACAAAAGAAAAAGTATTACACAATGCATATTGTAACTTTTTGAGCTTTTGAGACAGAGACTACCCCTTTGGAGAAAATATATTAAATAAAAAATAAACCAGCTTTATGATACAAAAATAGTTTCCTCTGAAAGTAAACTATTCAATTCCTCTGAAGTAAACTATTTAAGGAGGCAAAATTGAAATATAAATGAACATTCTTACTTTGAATGTTAACTGCCTTAACTGTGTTTAATATTTCTTCTAACTGATTTTTTCTTTATCACTCTTTTCAAAAAAGGAACAATTTTTAGAAAGAAAAAAAAGACTTATCAGCTAAGGTGAATATAATAATAATTCAAATTAAATATCAAATGAAAAATTGCTGTAAATAACTTATTTTGTAGATAAAATTGTAAAAGAGCGAGTTTTCCAATAAGCATTTTAAACTACAATAGCTAGAACACAAAGAGAAGTAGATTTACCTTATCCTTGAGCCACTGCGATAGTTCTGCTGCTTCTCTCACCAACTGATAGGCCTTGCAGGATTCTTCCAGTTTATTGCGTCTTTCCTGCCCAAGTCCCATGAGGGATTCATACTGGGTCTCTATCTGTTGTTGCCTAGCAGATATGTTGTTGGTGTCTGCAAGATTCTGTTGACTGGAAGAGAGGCCAGCCTCTATCTTCTTCACGTAGGCAGCAGGAACAAAACCCTGCCTGTCATTCACTTCCACTTTCCACCAATCCTGAAAACAATAATGGTTATTACATGCCGAATGGAAAAAAAACTGACATACCATTCAACAAAGAAGATTTATAAACATACTAGCCTTTATCAGGGATGAGTTTGGAAAGAAGCCGAAAATAGAAAATCAAAAATGTTGTGTGCAAAACAAATTTTAAATAAAAAAAGATTCACTAAATTTTATCAAGTGTATGTAAGAAGCATATATCCGTAGAGCATTATCAATATTTTAATGAAAATACCGAATTATGAACAGTGCTAAATAAAAATTTTAATTTTTTCATTTGTTATTATTATTTATTTTATCATAATTTTTTTGTGAATTCCAACCTGGATGTGAAATTTTTAAATCGCGTGAATATAAATTCCAATGGGTGATTTTTCCAAGCGCTTGAATACAAATCAAGATGTGTTATTTCATATCGCGTTAATACGAATCGAGATGTATAATTTTAAATCGAGTGAATGCAAATTTAAATAATGCAATTTTAAATAGAGTCAATATTCTATCGCGATATGATTTTCAAATCCCAAATGCAATTTTGACCCTGGTTTACATAGATACAAAAATGCACAAATTAAAAAGAAAAAAAGAAGAAGAAAAAAAGATTTTTCAGAAGTTTGAGAAGAAGCAAAATTTTCTTAGAAAAGCAGAATTTATTTATTTATTTATTTATAAATATTTTTTAAAAATTAGCAGAATTCCACCAAAAAGAAAAAAAAAAAGAAAAAAAACTCATCCTTGCTTTTTAAAGTGAGCGGGATTCTTAACATAGGGTGGAGGGAGGAATTTTGAAAATAATATGCAGCTCTTTGCTGACTTACACAAAAGCAGTCAAGGAGTAACAGGCAAACCTTTCAACATTGTATAATAGATCTTAGAAGTATAGCTTAGGAGGGCACAAGCCTACGCTAAATTTAAAAATATATATAAAAAAATAGATAACATATGGTAACTATTTAAATTTCAGAAATTGTTAAATATTATATAAAATAAATATTGTCTAAAATACTGAATATTTAAAATGTCTCTAAGCATTTTACAGAGAAAAACTTAGATACTTCTGAGAATATTACTTAGATATGGTAAAGATTCTGACGATAAAAATGGCAGACTCCATATTATATTAAAGATTGCCCAAGCTCCACTAATTATACAACTAGCTATATTTTTATCTGGTAAACTTTCAAATAAAGACATGCGGATAATAGTAAGGGCCACAACACATTTTAGAATCCTCTATACCAGTGATTCTCAA